TAGTTTTCCCGTTTCGGTGAGTTCCACTCCCTACCCACACAATGGTGGTTCCCAAACGCGTCTACTTTATGAGTACCACCCGTTTCTCGCCCATTGTGAATGCGTCAGCAGCATTTGTATGCGCACTTAGCTCGAAGTCGGCATGGTCGTGTCGATCCCTGTACCCTACAATGTGGTTGACAGCTTCGTGTGTGTCCCCGTCGTCTTTTATTGTTCGTTTCTGTTTCGTGTTGTTGGCACGCTGTTGGGTCCGATGTAGTTTCACGTGATAACAAGCGACGTCCGATGCGTTTCTACAAGGCTGGTTTGGAAGACGGGTAGATGTGCTGGCAGAAGCAGAAATATTAGCTCAGCACCTTCGTCGTTGGTTGTCCCTGTGCTTGAGAGAAGGGAATGACGCCCGGGATAGATACCTTCCCTGCATGAGTACCCCAGGACATGTACAGCAAGCCACGGCGTCGCAGGCGGCTTAAGATGACAATCATCACTTGCTCGCATCCAGCGTCTGCTAAAGGCTGTTCTGTCCCAGCTGACATTGATTTCAGTGGTTGGCCGCTGCATGTGTTTCTGGTAAATACATCACGCTGCTTCTCTGTTTCCGCTGTACGAGCTGGAAATGTATAGGCGGAAAAGCAGCTAGTTTGCACAGGACACCCATGCATGCGTATAAAATTCGACGTACACATTTTTTCCGTACATGCACATACCTGTTTCTTTCGCGTTTCATTCTTGCATCGGCCTCCGAACATAGCGTGACAATGAATTATTTAGTTTTTCATTCACGAACCGCGTCTCGGTGTTCTGTCTGTTTCTCTCTCTCTTCCTTGCCCCCCCCCCCCCCCCCCCCCCCCCCCCCCCCCCCCCCCCCCCNACTTGTGGTGTCTGCCCTACATTGTTTCTGACAGCTTGTGAACTACACGGCAAACTTGACAGAGGAGCGTGATGAGCTGAACGCTAGTTTAGAGGAGGCCAAAAAGGCGCTGCAGCGGGAGATGGCCACCCGGATCGCGCTAGAAAGCAAGGGTCAGATGCAGCAGGGCAGAAAGGTGCGCCTGACACGAACAGCCCGCCTTCCATGGCTTCAGCAATTTCCCGGTCAGGAGCTAGGGTGTATACACGGAGACACGTGGTTTATCTTTGGGGTCACGATCGATTCTGTACAGAGACTGGTAGCAGCCAGGACGGTTAAAACGTGAGAACATGTTCATCAGGTAATCGGGGGACGTGGGGTTGGAGTAGAAGCCTTGTAGTGCGAAGGAGTAAAACGTGGTACATGCGTGGTTCATCGTGAGCGGTGTAGTTGTGATTGAACACGCGGTGGTCCTGCGTAATCTACGATACTCGCGATCTACGAGTAAACACATTCGCATTGTCGATTGTAGTTGTACGTGATAGCAAGAAATACGTTGGGACTGTATCGTCGCGTCGGCAGCGGGCTCCGCTCTTCCTTCTCCTTCGTACACATGCAGCACGTTTGGTGTTGCTCTTTGACATGCAAAGAAAAACTTCATCTGTAACGCACGGTATGCACACGACTGAAGTCTCGTTCGTCCTTGTCATATCTGTGGGACTCCTCGTTTGCATCGCAACAGCAGTACCACGCCCCCCAAACCCTCACGCCGTTTCGCAATAAGAACTAATCTGACCCGCGTCCCGCTGCGTTGCCCTTTGGGTCGCTGCTGGCTCCCTGTCTTCGGCGTACATGGCACGGCGCCAATCACCATCATGATCAACACCAACACAACCAATCGCTTGTTGTCGTCATCATCGGCAATACCGCCAACAACCCCGCCACCACCAACATCATCACAACCAACCCCGCCAACACCCCAACCACGTATCGTCGGCATCACCTTCGTCGTCGTCAACAACACCAACGTCATGATCAAATACCAACATCATCAACACCATCACCATCGTCATCAACATCGTCTCATACAATTCCACCACCGTCATCATCGGCCCCAACACCACGATCATCAACATCGGCAACGACAGGGATCCTCAAGGGGGGGCGTTCGTCCCCCGGTTAATCATCAGCGCGACGGCGGGGGCGGCTTCGGGCTGGTCACCCTGTCAATCGTAGCTTCCATTTTTTTCTTCCTAGGCCACTGGCTTGACCTGGCTAGTGCCGGCGACGCCGTCACCGCTCGCCCACCGGTGATCCAACAGTACGCCGCGTCGACCCAGCCATTCAGCAGCAGTGGGAGCAGCCGGGAGGGCGGGGAGGGGTCGTCGGAGTTGTGACACTGTTTCGACCCTGATGGTTTGTTCGTCCCGCTAGATTGCGCACCCTGCAAGGCTACAGGCTCTTGGTTGCGACTCCCACGCTGTATAGCTACGGCCGGACTACTCGCTGGCATCATCACGGCAGGATCGGCGGCGCGTGAGGAGGAGCCCTTGTTTTTTGCCTTGAGGAAAGGGTCAGGCAGGGATGGTATGTAGGGAGACACGTGACGAGCAGGAGAGCGTTTGCGCCTTTGATGCTGGCGTCTATGGTGGGTGTGTGTAGCAGACGACCCGTGATTTTGGTGGGGACGCAAATGCGTCCTATGTAGCATGCACAGCCCAGATTAATCACGGTTCAAACATAAACCATCTTCAGTACATCCAGACATCCAGCGGCGTCGGCGACGTTCCGCGGGCATCGCTGTTCCATTGAACGGGAGGATATGTGGTAGTGTGCTCGCCCGGCCTAAACAGTTGTTAAACTAACAGTTGTTACCAATCCTTGCGTTCCGCGCGTGCTTTGATTCGTGTATGTGTCGTGTATGGAGATAGGGGGGGGGTTCGGAGGCACGAGGCCTTGGGACCGATGTGGAATGGGCTTTCGTTGCTGCCAATGGCAATGAACGACGGATGCGGTGGCTCGGTGCAGAGTGAGATGGTGGTTGCTCTCAGTGAAAGCGTTGTTGAACGTGCGGTCGGGCAGTGCACAGAAATTCGAGAGGAGGGTACAGCAGTATTGGAGGAAGCAAGGAGGTAGGGCTGTCTCTTACGTGTACATGCGGATGTAAGAATGATTCCCCGGTGTATCATGACAAAGGCAACGAAGTTCTATCTTCATAGAAATTTGCGAGGACACCTTTTTGCTGACGTTCGTAAGCGACGGCGTCTGTGTGTGCATGTGCAAAGTTAGCAGTGAAGCGGTTGAACGCCCGGGAAGTGCGTGACCACCACGTCAGTGGGAACGTCTTGCTACAGTCGAGATTCATTCCTACATAGACTTGTCTCTTTAATTAAACATAACAAAGGAAGGCCTGCTAGCAAGTAGCGGGCCGTGTGCTCCATGCTGTTCCTTGTAGCTGTTTCTGTGTTATGACAGACCTGTCCTTCGCGGGCACGAATATAATGGAGCTTTTTGTATGTGAGGACGTACCTGTTCCCCATTGATGGGGATTGCGCGGACGGTAGACTACGATTGGTACGATTACAGCAAGTTTGAAGTAGGAAGGGAGAGATGGAAGAGGAGCATTGAACGGTAGATCTTTGTTTGGAGTACACGGCATGGCACGGCTTCCTTCTCATCTCGCTTTCTTTATAGTTGCAGACATTGCAGCTTGATGGCGAAGCCGACGTGGCGCTCTAGCTGCGCAATTTTATCCGCATTTGATTACATAGTCCTACATCTGCTTGAACATTCCGTTTATGTGACGAAAGTTGTCGGCCGTCGGCTGCTGCCGTTGCACGTTGCACGGACGAAGTTGCACTATTAGGACAACGGCGACGGACGGCAACGATCAACGCGACGGCGGCGCGATCGACCGCAACATCTAAGGCGGCACTTGTAACCAACACGGCCCAAACAAACCCTGTACAAGGAAGGAACCACAACCAACGCGCAAAAATACTCTTCAAATACAAATATGTAGATAGGTTCGTGACGCACAGGAGTTGACGGACAACGAGTAAGTAGGTGCGCACGAATCCGTCCGATCGACCGACCGACCCAATCAAAACCATCCAACGACATGACGGCGTGGCCCGAGGTCGCCCGATCGACCGACCAACCGACCGACCCTTGAGGAAAGGGATCAAGGCCTTCGACCATCACAGATAGGCCGCTACAGCAGTAAGCCTGCACTGGAAACGGGGAGACACGAACCACATGTCGAAAGGGTCCAGCGACTCAAAGAGGCCTACCAAGAGGTGTCTCGGAGCGTGCCTGTCCGCGAAACATGAAACCGTCAACGTCAATCAACATCTTCTACCCATGCACGCACACACACGAACGAGCTGTTTTTGATCCGAAGGATAGTTTAGCCTCCCCCATGCTGCCCCCTCGCGGGGTCCCGGTTCATGGTAGATAGAAGTGTTTTGTGTTTTCAACCGCACTAAGACTGACTGACGTCTTTTCATTGGTCAGCCGGTTAGCGCGGTCGATGCTAATAATAAAAACACACGAACGAGCTGCCGTACCAGCACGATAACAGCAAAGAAACGTGGTCCAACATTGCCAGACATTCCTCTGGGGAGGTGAAGGGGTCGCCAACTTTGACGACGTAAGCATTGGTTACGCTTGTGACTATGGGGACGACCATCATGTGTTCCGACCAAGGCACACGTGATCATTGGTGCAGTCGGAGTAGCCACTTCCATCGCGGGGATGCTTCATGCAGCGCACCAGCTCAATCGTCAGGTGAGTCCCACAGTCAGTACAAGCATTTATGGTATGTGTGTATTTTACTAAGGGCCGTTTTAAACACGCCAAATAATTTTCCAAACTTCCATAGTTCCGAAATATTTGGAACTTGGATGTAGGCGGTTGTCCAAACTTTTCAAAATAGTTTGGAACGAAGTCGGGCCAGAAAGTTTGGCGCCAGTTCGTTCCAAAGTTTGGAACTCTTTTTGGACACTTTTCCAAACTATAGTGCAGAGCACGTGAGGGCTGCAAAGTGTTGAACCACGAGTTCCCCTCGCAACAGAACGCCAGCTAGGGTTGTTCTTGGGTGATGGCTGACCGTAGAAAGCGGGGCGTGCCTGCAGATTCGGCGGGCTGTCCTCGCCCGCCGGCACGAGCAAGGCACACAAATATTGCCGATGCGCTGAGGAAAATGAAGGCTGTGGCGGCAATAGTGCTGGTGCTGACTGTAGTTACAACGACGGTCGTTCAGAGCTTTGCCCCCAAGGCACGGCTACCTATCCATGAGCCGCGGCGCCTGGACTGGGAAGAGCATGTGAGAGACATCAAGCGCAGGGGGGTGTTCAGGCGCATGTACCGGATGGAGGAGCACAGCTTACAAACTTGCGGAGCTGCTGCGACCAATCCTGGAGAGCAACGACTTCTATGCAAGTGAGCGAGAGGAAAGACAGAGAGAGGGACAGAAGGAGGGCTAGGAATAGAGCGAGAGAGACCTTGTAGGTGGCGGGGGCGGAATTGCTTTGTCTCGGGTATGCGTGTTGTGCGGTGTTGAAGCCTGTCTCGATGCTGGGCATGTCTGTGTCCAATTTCTAGCTACCAATTCCGGCCGAACTTTTTTTTTTCCGGCACCACGAACGACCTCCGACATACGCTATCATGCAACGCCCCCCAGAGGGTTAGGAACGTGGGCACGTTGAATGACACGGATAGTCTACAACGTGCTTGGTTGCGCCTCCACGTATGTAGCTTACACATGGTGTCATGCTGCCATTGTTTTGTTTTATGGGATGCAGGGAAGCGCACGCGCAGCGGAGCTGTGCCGGTAAAAATTCGTTTGGCGGTGGCGTTGCGCATGCTGGCAGGAGCATCATACCTAGATGTCGCGGTGCTGTTCGGCATTGCGAAGGAGACTGTATTCCACGTCTTGTGGGAAGTGGTGGACGCGATCAACAACACGCCGGAGGTCGGGGCGTTCTTTTTCCCTCAGACAAGGGATGATTGCGCCCGGCAAGCGAAGGAGTGGGAGGTGGGTAAAACGTGTGTGTGGTATTTTTTTCGTGTTTATCCGTTTGTGTCCTCATCATGGATGACTTCACCGCCTACTTGTACCGCGCCCTCGTTTTTTTTCGGTAAGGCGGGTATCTTTCCTGTCATCGCGAAGACAAGCGTTAACTTCATATAGTGTCGTGTTTTGTTTTGTACTCTTCCTTCAGCAACAGCATTCGGCCATACTCCTTCTTCAATCGAAACCCGAAGCACGCGGGTTCCATCTCGTGTCACCCACCCGGTTGCGCTGTCGCCCCCGGCCTTGTTTCCGACTGCGACATAGTACAGCGAGAGGCAACGAGTTGAGTTCCCCGGATTGAGTTGTGGCTCATCTCGTGTAGTAGAAAACTTAGAGGATACAGAAGGAGGGAGAAGCGAGGCCTCGAGAAACTAAGCAACCTGGTCCCATGAATATCTTCTACCGGTCTGCGAACCACATGCAACCACCGCAGCGATCTCAGATCCATTTCGTTCTCGAACACCCCGCCCGTGCAGACAAGTCTTTTTTTTTTGCATGGGTGCACTTTTTGCATGGGTACACGTTTTTACCGATGAGTGGAACGACCGAAGAGCCCATTCGCCTGCATGTCTGTCCAAGCCGTGGTCCGAATCTCTTCAAAACGATCGCTGATGGCCCGCGCCCCACCTCCCACCGCCGCCGGCTCTCTTGTCGCCTCTTGCCGACTCTCTTTTTCCGGAACACTCATCCCTCCCTTGCAGGCCAAGAGCACCGGCGGCGTATTCTCCGGTTGTGTTGCTGCTGGAGATGGCCTGTTCGTCAAGACCATCGCCCCGTCTCCGGTGGATACCCCGAACGTGCTCTCCTACTTTTCCGGGAACAAGAGTGGGTACGGGTTGAACATCCAGGCGACCTGTGACGCCAACTACCGCTTCTGCAGCATGTCGGCCATTTCGGCCGGTGCGACGAATGACTGGACAGCATGGAATCGTTCTTCGCTGTCAGACTCGGTGGCGCGCCTACCGCCTGGGTACTACGTGCTAGGCGACGCGGCGTACCCTCTCAGCGATCATCTCCTCACGCCGTACCCGGGGAAGTTGCTGCCACGAGACGAAGACTCGTTCAACTTCCACCTGAGCCAACTGCGAGTGAAGATCGAGCAAGCTTACGGCATCCTCGTGGGGCAGTGGGGGATTTTGTGGAGGCCGTTGCGGGTTCAGTTCGCAGGCCGCAGCGCCCTCATCACGGCCCTCTTTCGTCTGCACAACTACCTCCGCGACGAGCAAGTGAAGCCGGTCCACATGTCAGAGGAAGACACGGAGACCGGGCGCGACCGTCCCCATCTGACGGAAAACGACACGCTGCCGGAAGACTTTCAAACAACCGACACGGGGGTGCCGAAGCCGACGAGGTCGGGAGACGTCCCCACCCGCCTGGCGCTGAGGATGCTACTGGACAACAGGCGACAATACCGCCCTCTATACAACCTGCAGCGCAACGAGGCACTGTAGTCATCGAGGGCTGACAGGCGGAAGGGGCTCTGTGCGGGTTGAACCCGCTCTGGACTACGGTGCTTGAAAGTAGGGCATATTCGGGGAGGGAGAAAAAGGGTCGAGGAACACATGAAGGTTTGGCGGGTGGCCAGATAGGGCTGGGGTGAGGTGGTCGGGTACTCGGGATTCGTTGTGGAGACGCGGGGGGTACCGTGATGTATTGGCCTGCCCTTGACAGGAAGGGGCTTAGGGGCGTACGTGTCTTGTCGTGTGTGCATGTGCGTATTTGTGTGCCCTTTACTATTTTGGTTTCCCATTTATTTTTGCGACAAAAGTCCCTCCGATGAATGCGAAACGTGTGCTACAATTCGCAGTAGTGTTTGGAGAATGAGCGGTCCCTTTCTCTCGGCGAATATTTTTTCGTTCGTTGCTGCGCGCGGGATCTCCTGTTGTCGGTAAAAAGTGTCACCCCCAAGCAATGAAGGGGCTGATTTGTCGCCCGTTAGCGATCCGGGGCCAAAGCACCCTTAGAATACTCTTCGGTCTTTGAGCGCGTAGCGGCCAGCGTGGTTATCAGACATGTGCAAGTACCGACCGCGCAGGGAGAAATACCATGCCGTTGGTTTGAGATCTTTTGCGCGGTGCTCTTTAATTTCGTGTGGACCGCATTGACATTTTGATTGTATCCCCACGTCGGATCAACCATGCAGACGATGGATATGGACGGTGAAAGCAGAAAAAAACACCGAGCCAAGACAGTGAAAGAAAAAAAAAAAGGGGGATTCATTCGCCCCGCCCGACGAGACGTCTGTATACATGATCACATCTCCCTGCCTTGTTATGGGTGCTGCCAAGAACAAAAAACGCAACCACACAACAAGACGTACAAACAGCCCCACAAAGGCGCTACAAACAACAAGACCAACGCGGCGACACTCCACCTCCGCGGTGATGCAACGCACAAAATAACCTGCATCCCCACATTGGTAGGCATAGGGCATGGCAGGAAGCCGCCGCCGAAAAATCGCCGGACCAACCATGCACGACGGAAAAAAAACAACGTGCCTTGTCGCAACACAACATTACATCTCCTTGCCGTGCCTTGTGGGCGCTGCCGAAGAAAGCAACGAAGGCACAACAACACAAGGAACGATGCAGCCACACTACGACATTACCAAATAATACTCTCTCGCTTATGCCAGAATGGCGTAAAGGGTGAGGTGGTGAAGTGCCGCGCGGGAAACAAACGGCATACACATAGTTGTGCTGCCGGGAAATTACGCTTGCGGAAAAATAAGGGTCTGCATCGGACGGACCAGTTGCATCTCTTTAATCTTGTACGCCACCACCACAAAAAACCACCACTTCGATTCGCATCTACCCTGCCCTGCCGCCAAACGTCTCCATCCCTAACTTACGTTTTGTTGTGGCCCAGCCGAGCGAATACTACGTGTCAACTAGGAAAAAAGAAAAGGCTACGCCAACATGCATCTCTAACTGAAGATGCAGCCAAAGACCCCACCAAACATGGTATTCGTCACACGTGAGATAGGAGGAGGTTAAAAAGTATTGAGAAGACACCAGCACAACCGGCGCCGTCCACAACAGATAAGTGCTAACCGCCCGCGCCCCACGCACCCACGTGCCGGCTACCTAGCCATCCTCACTAGCTGCCGCCGTTTCTTTTCTGATTTGGGCCCTCACGGTCGTCGCCCGGTCCCGCAAGAGCTGTAGGTCTTCTTCGTCAGCGTCCGAACCCAGCTCCTTCTCCTTCCTGATGTCCTCCTTGATTTCCTGGAGTTCTTTGCGGAGCTTGGCGATATATTCGAGTTTGGCCGTCTTGTTCTCTAACCCCTCCTTCGTGTCGTAGAAGGATGTCGGGGCGTCGGCGTACGTGGGTGCGGACGACGTTCCGAACAGGGCGTCAAGGCCGAGCTCCCCCTTCACCGCGGACATAGCGACCTTCGCCGTGTTCTCGATCTGCGCGTCCTGCTTCTTCTTTTTCTTCTGGTGGCCACTGACGCCCACGTTCCTCTCCCTGGATTCCACTTTCGCGACCTTCCGCTTACTAGCATCCGCCGAAGCGCCCTGGGCACCACTGTGTCCGTCTCCCGCGGTCTCCACCCCCGTACTCTCCCTCGCGGTGCCGTCGGGGAGCATCTGGTCGCACACGGCCAGGATGTCAGGGCACTTCTCGGCCGTCAGCCCGAAGTAGTATGTGTCTAAGCTTTCTGCTTTTTCGGGGAGGGGTCGGGATTGGATGTGGGGGGGGAGGGCGGGGGGGCGAAGTAGATGATCAAGCGCAAGCCGAGATTTGTCAGCATTCGATCACAAACGTCAAGAGGAACTTTGCGTTGTTTGGCGTTGACTACCGTCTAAGGTTAGTTCTGGGCCCATGGATGCACAAACCTACATGCTTTTCGACGCAACACGATGGGGAGCACGCGCCAGGATGGAGAGGCCAAACACAAGCACCACACACGCACGCGCTCGCGAGCATTCAAACACTAAATACCCCGTGCACCTCGTCTACCCTCAAACATACACAAGGCTCGTTTTGTCACTGCACAACAGAAACAACATGGTCGGGCCGGAGTATTAAACTCACCCTTGCAGAAGGAAAACATCTCTCCGTTGCTGCCAGATTTCTTGAAGTTGGAGTACATTTCGCCGTGGTCCTTGAAGAGGTCGGTCCTCATGGTCGCGAACTTCTGGAAGCTGATGTCCGGCTGGTGTACGACGTTGGGGTTGATGCCGGCGCCAAAGATGTTGCTGTCGTCCGCGAAGGAACTGGGCACCTGCAATGTTACGTTGTTGGCACAAATACAGGCAAAGGGGGGGGCGCTTGCGTTTTGGTCCTCTATCTTTGCCTTGGTTCGCCAAAATGTGCACAGCAAAGAAACACCGAACGTTTGACCTCGGGACCGCAAGTGGTATGCGGCGTGCATGCAGGTGCCAATCACAAAAAAGTACCGCCTCGTGCAGGCCACAACGGAGGATACCACCTCCACTACACCTAGATCAAACTGGAACATGCAAAAAAAATTGAGTAAGCACCTCACCTTGAACTTTTCGTCCTTGAACGCCTCCCAAATCTCGAGATGGATGTCCCGGGTCGTCCCCTTCTGCTTGGCGTCCAGCTCCTTCTTGCTCAGCTGCAACCTACTGGCGCCAAACCTCTCCCTGAACTGCGGATGCATCAGAAGTTCACAAAAGCGAGGGACGCAGTGCTTGCTCTTCCTCCGCTGTCCGATGCCCTCGCCCCGCCCATCGGCGCGATCTTCCTCCTTGATCGCCGCCATGATGGCGGCGACCGTGTACGACTTGCCATCACAGTCGTACATCTTGTTCGGCTCGGGGCTGAGCCCACTCCGGATTGCAGCGCGTACCGCTGTGATGAGGTTTTGAGGAACTCGTTGCGCCTCCGCGCTAGATGCTGGCGGCTTCGATGGTGGCGTTCCACCTGACAATACCATCAGCGCCAACGAGCGGGGGATGGGCAGGGCCGTGTCGGAGGTTGTTCATACATTACACACCCCGATGCATTCCTCGGCACAAGCGCGCCGAAAACCTGGCTGGCGAGGGCTTCCTTGCTTTTGCAGCATTTGACACTTACGGTAGGGTTGGACACTGCGCTTCCGTGTCAGGACTGCTTGTTCGCAGAGCATCTACTGTAACTCACTTCCTCGACTGCTTGCGACTCCTAGGAATTGGTACGACACATGCCGTGCCTGGATCGGAGCCACAAGGCATCGCCTCCTCTCTTTTTCTCTCTCACGCCACGAAGAAAGAAAACCTGCTGGGATGGTATCGTCCAAAAATAAACCTGTTGTGCGGTTGCTCCCCGCTGTCGAAACACAGCACGCTTTTTCTCCCAAAGGCAACACCGCAAAATCACGAACGTAGGAAAAGCAACACATTTCGACGGAGCTACCCAGGTCCCATGCAAGCCTTGAAAGAACAGGCTCGTGGCAACACTACCACGAGCATTGTCTGGTGATCATTGGGTCTTCACCTGTTGCCTTGTCCTCCAAGTCAGCGAGATACGGACTGCTCCTGCTCATGACGATGTCGAGCTGCGTCAACCCCGTTGCCATCTTGTCTGTGTCTTTTGACCTCGAGTAGCCGCTGAGCCTCCGCAGTGCGCAGGCTTCCCTGAGCAGGTAAGCCGACCACTTGTTGTAGCTCTTGTTGCGGTTGCGATTCAGCGAGCTTTGAAGCTGACGCATGGTCCTTGCCACCGACTCGACCGCCGCGCTGCTGCCAGCTCGGCTCAACCTGCCCCCGCCAGCTCCGCTCGAGCTTCCTCCGCCAGCTCCGCTCGAGCTGCCTCCGTCAGCTCCGCCTGCTCCCCTGCCGTGTTGTCGGCCACGGTCATCGTCTTCTGACTCGCTGTCGCTGTTCCCTGAGTCGCTGCTTGATGAGCCGACACGGATGGACCCTCCGTCGGACGTAGAATTGAAACGTGCGTCCTGGAGGATGGCATCCACTTCATGAGAACGATGGTCCGCCGCGCTTCTTGTACCCGTTCTCTGCTGCGCAGAAGCAGTGGGCGCCACGTGACCGGGCCCCCCAGCTACGCCCTCGCTCTGCGTGTTGGTGTCGGAAGCGCCTCCCGTGTTCGAACGAGCGGTCCCCTTGAAGCCAGGCAGAGGGTTCGGGGTGCTGGACAACAAGCCGCCACCGCCGACAGCAGCCCCGAGAGACCCGTTGTGCTGGTATTTCGCCGGGACTTTGGTGTGACGACCACGCAGGGTTGTCGTGGTCTCCACGCTGTTGTCCATGGTGTCGATATGTGGGCTGTGTGTGGTATATCGCTTGCGTGTTGCTGCACGTGTCACGCGCGGCTCTTTCTTTTTGGAGCAACTCCACATCACAGCAAGTCACAGCGTTTAAAATGATTCTTTTGCTTCCAAACTTTTGTAACAAAAGTTTGGAGTTTTTGGAACGAAAGTTTGGAGTGTTTAAAACGGCCCTAAGTGAACCTACAATGGTCGGATGGCAAACAAACTAATAACAACAATTATACCAACGTCATTAAGCTGTGAACCACATTCTCAACAGTTGCAGCAAGACGAATGACAATAGAATGCAACGGGAATGGTCCTTCGCTCTTGACTCATCCACTGTGAAAAACGGCGTTCAAACAACCGCCCTTGCCTCGAAGTTAGAACAGCAGATTTCAGGCGCAGTGATGACCTGCGGCCTATCCTTGACTCTTCGTTCGTCTCCAAATTCAACCAGCGCCCACTACTGTACTGTAGTATAAGCACGTCTGCTGATGTGAAAGAGGGAAAAGAGACACCCACCTCTCCGTCGTCGCCGTCGACGGCAGTGCCCTCTTCCACGTCTCCGTTGTCCCCGTCTCCTTCTTCTTCTGCGGAGCCATCTACTACAATTTCCTCGTCGAGGCAAACGAAATCCAGAGCGCCCATGGTCGGTTCCTCCTCGATCTCGCCCTACTGGGATGATGGATATCGTATTGTGCGCCGTGTGATGTACGGCAATCTTGGTGTGGCACGACATGGCGCGGTATGATATGCTGCCGCATGATATGATATGGTATGGTGTATGCTTTCGTGGGGCAGATGTCATGTCACTAGCGTGTGGTGAAAAAAACGTTTATGCTACAACGTGTACCCCAAATCAAGCGCGTCATCATTCGTGCATCGATACCATCTTCGTGCATGCGGTACTGATAGGCGTACGGAGCTCGTCGATGGTGGCTTGCGGGTGTCACCTCACCCGAACATGCGCACCATGATGGGCCGATACCGGAAATTTACTCTGTCGCGTTAGACCAGGTAGAGACATATCTGGAATAGACTAGTCCGATGGTGGCTTGCGGGTGTCACCTCACCCGAACATGCGCACCATGATGGGCCGATACCGGAAATTTACTCTGTCGCGTTAGACCAGGTAGAGACATATCTGGAATAGACTAGTCCGATGGTGGCTTGCGGGTGTCACCTCACCCGAACATGCGCACCATGATGGGCCGATACCGGAAATTTACTCTGTCGCGTTACACAAGGTAGAGACATCTGGAATAGACTAGTTCAAGAAGCACTTTTGAATTGACATCTTGTTGTACCTTGTTCATGAGCGTAGGCTATTTTCTTGTCGCAAGCGTTAGCGAAAAACAACACCAACGACGCCAAATCACCACCAGCAGCAGCACCTTAAACAACAAAAACGACAACAGAACAACAACAGTCAACCAACTACGGCAACAGCACATGTGCTTTGCGCATGCACCTCTTCGACCGTTGCCTCAAAGTCGGGGAGGGACTGCAGGATAAACGCATCTGCGTGCGCTTGACCTTCTGCACCGCCTTTCCCCTCTCGTTCACCAACACGTGCGCCATCTCGAGCTTCTCGATCTCCAGCTAAAGCACCGGCAAAACAGAAGTTGGCATGTGCCCGAGCACAAGTTGCTAGACACAGTAGGTAGATATCGTGTGGGTTTCCGGTCGGCATGTTGACACCGAAATGACAGCAAGTCGCGGGAACAAACGAGGGTCGTCTCATCAATGTGAAGCAGCAGCGCAGCGGTTGTGCTGCACTACCCCATCAAGTAGGGATGCGGCAGCACTTGGTTTTACAATGGTTCCGGGAGATGCAAACGAAGGACAGTTGGGGTGAAGTGGTCAGCAGCGAAATCCGATGCAACTTTTGATGGAGCGCAGAAAAGTCATACCAGAAGACGAGAATTACGGCCACGAGCATTGCCCGCTTCCACGGAAACGACAGCAAGGGGGCTTGACAAAAAAAATGGTCATCTTCGAGTTATTTGGCCATATTTCATGAGGAAGTTGGGTTACAATATAGACAATCGAAAGTTTTCAGAAGGCCAAAGCGAACTTCTGTTCAGAACAAGCCTTTGGCAGCAGCCTAGTAGGAAACAATGCATTGTTGGTACATCTCACAAAAAAACATCGAACAGACACCGCGTCGTGGTGAACCCGCAAAACTCGCCGATTTGTTCCGGCTATATAGCAGATGCGTGTGTGTGTGTTTTCGCCGTATTTATTGTGGCGATAGTCCCCTAATTGTTTGTTGTGAGACGTGTACTACACTTTTTCAGTGCATTTTAGAGTACTGCCGTAATTGTGCGTGTTATGGCACCGGGGAGCGATCGTTTTTCAAATCGTTCTTATCTTGGTTTTTTATCGCACCCCGGTGCCATAACACCAATGGGTGCCATAACACCGATACCGGTGCGGAAATGCAACAAATCCTTTCGTTCTACATTTTCAACTCAGCCCCGGTGCGACGACACCGATGGGTGCGATGCGGAAGAAATCACTGTGGCCATTTTACGGTGCTGAGTGAACGCACCCCGGTGCGATGGTACCGATAGGTGCGACGCTCAAGAAACAAACAATAGGCGTTTCCTGGTACAAAGTACCGGAATGGTGCGTATTGCGGTACTCAAAATGAAGCGGCTGACGCGAGTTTTGGGGTAGCATGTGCCCAATACAACAGACGCTTTGACTCCCTGCTGGGAAAGGTACACGGTACGGAACCGTTTTTCTTCCAACCTCTTTGTTGGTCGCAAGCCCCTCATTTGTTGGTTGGTGTTTCCATCTGTCTTTGTTTGCCTCAAGGGGCATGGTACCGGTAGTTGTATTAGTACCGTTTACGAACTCCTTCTTGTTGGGTTGGTTGGAGAGGCGGGATGGTTCTGTGTGCTTGGTCGAGTGAGTGAGTGCATTCGACGTACGGACTACTATAGAAAACACGAATCCTCAATACCGCACACCTCGACGGTACGATATACACGCATGAAAGGAATGGCAAACCGACCGGACCCTCTCAGCCGTTCGTTACATACAGTTCGATACGTGGCCAGAGGGTACCGGTACCTTGCGGAAGCACGCAAGTTTATGTCCTAAGCAGGTTTTGCATCGCTGATATCGCACCGGGTGCCTTAACACCGATACCGGTTGTTTGTTGTTGTTGTTTTTCTTCACATTAAACTCGGGTCAGTTGCTAATCCCAAAATCTAGCGAAGACTCGGCCCGTGGTCACAAAAATGCTAGAGCCATCAGAAGATCTAAAGAACACACACCACTAGCAAGAAAAGGGTACGCACGCCCGAGGAGGTACACCTGCAATCCCTGCAGCACGTTTGCATGCTCACAACTGAACTACACGCCCACATACTACAAATCGACTACAGCAGCAGCATCACCCCCCTTGTCCCGCATTTGACCAAAATGAATGTTTGTCGACTACAGCGTACTGCTGTCTGAAGTGTTGTCTGCACAATAATAACACCATGGTGCATGGTACACAAGCTCGGGGCATGCAGCTGCTGTCTGAAGTGCTGTCAGAATGAGTCCGTGGACATACAATGTCTAACACCCAACCAAAGCCATCATTGCAATTGAAAATCACCCGAATCTATCCAGATCATCTGTGTTAGGCACAGCAGTGTAAACATCGACACTGACTAGGAATCGTTCCACATTGAAGGGGTCTTCCACGATGCAGGTACACAATTAAGGCACCCGGGTTGTCCGCGCCACCTCCGCCGCGTCTCTCTACCAAACCAGTGACGTCATTACACACACCCAACACCTGTATTCAGGAAAAAAACGGAGATATAATTGACACCACAAGCGATGTTTGTCCGTGCGCCACGGTTCGATGCCGTTCGCCTGCTCCGGTGCCGCTGCTCCGGTGCCGCTGTGGCCAGTCCTAGCACGACCAAACTCGACCCGCTCCGCTTCGTACACGCTCTCGTTGCTGTCCATCCCAGTCGGTTCCTCGCTTTCTCCCTNACCTCCGCCGCGTCTCTCTACCAAACCAGTGACGTCATTACACACACCCAACACCTGTATTCAGGAAAAAAACGGAGATATAATTGACACCACAAGCGATGTTTGTCCGTGCGCCACGGTTCGATGCCGTTCGCCTGCTCCGGTGCCGCTGCTCCGGTGCCGCTGTGGCCAGTCCTAGCACGACCAAACTCGACCCGCTCCGCTTCGTACACGCTCTCGTTGCTGTCCATCCCAGTCGGTTCCTCGCTTTCTCCCTCGTTGCACTTGGGGTTCTTGGTCTAAAAATTCTAGCGCCGAAGGATCAACCAGCCCAACCAGCTCGTCACCACCTGTCCCCTCCTCCTTTGATGGCAAAACCAGGTTACTGAGACAGTACAGCGCCCTCTAGCAAACCTAGGGCCGTGTACATAGTGCCCGTCCACCTTTCTGATGACGTCTGCCTCCGCGCCCAAAGAAGATGAGATGGGCATTGCTGCCTAAACCGACGGCCTGGAGGCCCGCGCATCTGCACCTTTGTACCTGACGCACCAGTGCCGACCGAACTCGACCACTACGCACGCCTCGCGGCGGGTGCGCCGCAGCAAGAAGGTATCGGTCCCTTGAGGGTGAGTCTAGCCCTGCTCGCTAGAAAGACCGCCCCCCTCGCTAAGGGTCATGCCTACGCAACACCTTGCCGAGGCAGCGAGGGGAAGAAAAGGATACCGGTGCGGACATGCAATTAAATCATGCCGTTCTCGATGTTTCTGTGCGCCCCGATGCCATAATACCGATGGGTGCGAAATCAACGATGGGTGCCACAACACGCACAATTACGGTACACTTTTCAGCGTGTATGTTCCGTTCAACTGCATCCATCCAGGGTCACACAGGACGTAATTCAAATTTAAATATTTAACTTGCGAACCCTGCACAAGGTTGGATTGGCGGAGTATTTCCAACATCTCGTGTTATTCCGAACGGCAGATTCACGCACTGTAGGCTAACATAAGGGTTTGCTTTTTGGGGTGGACCTTGCGGAAGACATGTAGGAGTAGTTTTTGTTTTGTTTCAACATACTCAAAAATCCTCCTTGAAATTCTTTCCTCAATCTGTACGAACGTGAGAGAGAACACTTGCACTACATGTTTAGACAGCAGTTCGTCGGGTTGCGACAACGTTGTCCGTCCTCCTCTCTCCGGGCGGTAGCTATCTGTGCAAGCGGGGGTATCATCTATCCATCATTGGTGTAGCATCCCCAACAGCAGCATCATGATGCATGCATATACTTGGGGGTGAAAATAATCGGTAAGTCGACCGTTCGACAAAAAAACTCATGCAATAAGTACCACTTGTCCAAGGACCTTGTTGTGCGTCTCTCGCCAGCCTCCATAGTGAAAACGAGGCCATCATTTCTATGTATACAGCAGCAGCAGTGTGGATATGTTGAAGTGTAGACTACATTATCATAGACTACTGCTGCAGCAACTGCACAGCGGATAGGCAGGCGTGTGAAGAAGCACAGCCGGTCATCGATCGCTCCAAAACGCACCTTTTCGCCATCCGCAACCAGACAGGCGCTAACCAGTGCACAACAACAGGAAGAAAGGCTAGCACACTAATGACTGGCGGAGGCATATTGTACATCCATCAGCTGTGTGACATGTACGATACGGTTAGCATTTAGAACAAGAGGACTCCGCCACAGGGAAAGAGAAACCCTCGCTCTCATTTTTCCCGATAGGATATGTTTTTCGTCGTTTCGTCACGCGGTCACGCACGAAATCCAATCCGCGTTCAAAGGATCAAAGGAAAGGGGTCCACGGATTGGAGGCAGTCCCTGCAAGAGCAGGGCAATATATATAATATCTACTGCAGTACGCCATTAGCCAGCGTTCGTCGTGGTCGTGGACATACCTAGCGTCTCCGATTCTTCTTTGCTACATAGCGTTAAATCGACTTATCGACGTTTCAATATGAAAGCAAGACATTACAGTGGCAAACAACACCAACTTCCGCCGTACCTGGTGAGGATATCGCAGACGTAGCCCTCAAGGAATCGGACCTTTCCGAACGGCGAGGTTGTAGTTGTCCACAGGACTCAAAGGAGGCCCTTCCGCTCATGCCAAGGCGTCTGATGAGAGGGGAGTGTTCATGTGCAACAAAACAGGCGTTACTTGCTTTGGAGGCGGAGGGAAGCGTCCTCAACAAACTCTTCCTGTCCAGTTGACTCTACCATCCATCACGCAACACTTTCTGATCGACCCCAAGTTCTGCCCCTTACAGGGATGCCGCTAACGTTCGGGCCTTCTTCCCGCCACGCTCTGCACAAGACTTGTGTGGGGCAGAAAGGCGCCTCCAGGAGTCGATGGTCTCATTGACATGCGCTATGGAAGTCAGATATCATCTTCAAGGCACCCACTCATCATACTGTATACTTTCTTGGCACGCTCTTGAACACGTGTTATCATAGTGAGGGGGGAGGGGTGTGTACTCATAGTCGTGCATGCCGTAGTAGACCATTGACCTCGCATCCCTACAAAGCCGGGACGGAGCACGCCGGATTCTCACCGGACCAGGCTCTCACATCACCAAGCGCGAAGCGCCGTGAGGTATACAGCGAGTCGCATGAAGGGTGTGCTGCATCCTGCCAAGGGTGTTCGGCATCTTGTGCTTACTTCCTTGCGTACGGATGACAGCTGCGTAAGACTTAGTTTATTTTCTGGTGCTTTCACCTCCAGAGACAGGTGTAAGCTCTGTGTAACTGCCTCGAGGGTGCTTGACCAGTTTAACACAACGTGGTGCGATCATCCCCCTTGTGCGGAGTGAGGGTTCTAGACCCCGCACAACATAATCAACCCGTCCACCATTATGCTTGCCGCCCAACAAAAAGCCAAAGGCAAAAAAAAAAAGGAGGGAACCTGGTTACTGAGCTCGCAAAGAGATCTGCTTGTTTTACAACGTCGTTGCCAAGCGACTAAAACCCAACGCCGATGGTAAACACCGGGGGGG